CACTTGGAGTGTGGCATGGATGACCAAACTACCCTGAAGTTGGTATGAAAGAGATCAGACAAAATATTGGCCTCCCGTTCAGGATTTCTGTCACTCAGGACATTTTTTGCACAAAGGAGGACACCGAGCTGGCTTTGAAGCATGAAAAGGACCTTCCCAGACAGTGGATGCAGGCACACAGTGGACATTCAGGGAATATCTGTGGACAGATGAATTGTTGTCATCACAGTTTATAGTTCTGTTTATTTGTTTACCTGGTTATTACCGGGGCCCGTGACTGCTGGGCTTACTCTTATCATTATGCTTGCACTAGCTCCATGCCTGGATTCCTACTAGGCATCCCAGGAATAGCCTTTGGATGGATGAGCTAAGTAAGCCCCACAGTCAAGGGTAGGCTGGGCATGGCTGCTCATTGTGGTGGGAAGTTCTTTCCCTGAAGACCAAGGTCATTTTTTAAAAAATTCTGGGTCTCTGCTGGGAGAGGTGGGAGAAGGAGTCCCGGGCCCTAACCTTGTATTACTTCTCTGCATTCTGATTACAGCTCAGAAGAGGAGGTTTTAGAATCCATGTGGCTAGAGAGGAAAATAATGGTGGGTTTTCTAAAAACAAGAATGATCTCGGAGGCTGGGCGCGGTGGCTCACGCCTGTAATCCCAGCACTTTGGGAGGCTGAGACGGGGGAATCACGAGGCCAGGAGATCTAGACCATCCTGGCTAACACGATGAAACCCCATCTCTACTGAAAAATACAAAAAAAAAAAAAAAATTAGCTGGGCATGGTGGCGGGCGCCTGTAGTCCCAGCTACTCGGGAGGCTGAGGCAGGAGAATGGTGTGAACCTGGGAGGCGGAGCTTGCAGTGAACCAAGATCATGCCACGGCACTCCAGCCTGGGTGACAGAGCAAGACTCTGTCTCCAAAAAAAAAAAAAAAAAAAAAAAAGAATGATCTTGGCAAAAGCTGCAAAAACTCAAAGGGCAAAGAGGGGCTGAGTGTGGCCTCTGCTGTAAGTCATTCATGCATTCCATGCATTGAAGCACCGTGCTGGGGGTCATTGCAGCCTGTTTAACTCAGTATTATTTTTCTTCTTTTTCGTTTTTGCCGGCTGTTCAACTCAATTGTCACATGTTCCTTCATTTCAACAATACACAGAATGATAGAGCAGTTCAGAGAAAGATCGACAGAAAGAGAGAAAGAATGAACTTCTGAGAGGTCAGGACATTTTTTGCACAAAGGAGGACACCGAGCTGGCTTTGAAGCATGAAAAGGACCTTCCCAGACAGTGGATGTGGGAACAGGTGTGGGACTTGCAGGCAGAGAGACCGGCTGGAGACGAGTGTGATGTGATGAGCCGTGGAGTGTAGGGGATGTCATGGGACATCAGTCTGGATGGATGGCTGTTCCCGGGGTGTCCACTAGGAACCAGACATGGCACTAGTGCAACTGTAATGATAGTGAACCTGGCTGAGTTGCATCCTCCCAAAATTCATACACTGAAGTCCTAACCCTCAATATTTCAAAATGTGACTGTACTTGGGGATAGAGTCTTTAAAGAGGTTATTAAGTTAGAATGAGGTCATTGGCAGCCCTAATCCTACAGGACAGGTGCAGATGAGGAGAGAAGAGGAAGTTAGAACCAGGCACATGAGAGGAGGACCATGTGAGGACATAGGGAGAGGACAGCCACCTGCAAACCAAGGGGAGAGGCCTCAGGGAAACCAGCCCTGCACATGCCTTGATCTTAGATTCAAGCTCTAGAATCAAGCTTGAATCAATTTCAGCAATGCTAGCAAATCAATTTCAGCAAATCCATTGCAACTGCCCAGACGAGAACACTTCGTTTTGGCAGCCCCATCAAATTAATACAGTGGCTGTGAATGAGGGTCCTGAGGGGAATAGTCAGGCCTATACATGCAGGAGTCCTGCAGACTGTGACCTGATTTTACCCTGTAGGTGAGCTCATTCCATGGGAGGGCCTGGTGGGTGTTGGAGAAGCAGCTGTGGATAGAGGTGAGCATCTTGGGAGGGCTGCGTGGAGACATCTACTCGTGTGTATAAAGGAGGGTGAGGGACAGAAAGGGCCCAGTGGACACTTGGAGTGTGGCATGGATGACCAAACTACCCTGAAGTTGGTATGAAAGAGATCAGACAAAATATTGGCCTCCCGTTCAGGATTTCTGTCACTGAACCACTGGCACAGCCACCTCCCTCCTCCTTATCTCCTCCACATGCCCCATGCAGGCCCAGACCGAAGTTCCGTGGGGTCCCCTACACTCCACGGCTCACCACATCATGCTCATCTCCAGCCGGTCCCTCTGCCTGGAGGTCTCACTCCTTTCCCACATCTGCTAGGTGAAGTCCTTCTCATGCTCCAAAGCCAGCTCAGTGTCCCCTTGTCCACGAAAACTTGACTCCTCAGAGGTTCATGCTCTCTCTCTGTCCATCTCTATCTGAGCTGCTCTACCATTTTGTGCACCCAGGCTCATGTGACAATTGAGTTAAACAGCCTGCGATGACCCCCAGCACAGTGCTTCAATGTGTGACACGCAGCAGAGACCACAGTGAGCCCACCCCTGACCCCTCACACAGAAGCTGCTTTGTGACTGTTTGCTGAGTAAAGTTTGGACAGTGCTGGACCTTGGCCTTCTGTGTGAGACACAGACAGGGCTTCCCTGTGACCTTGGACAGGCTGGGTAAACCTCAAGAGAATTATTTGCCAAGACAGGCAAGGCATGATGCAAAGGAAAGCACATAGGAGTGGATGACCCTACGAAGGGGCCCCGTCCTAAAGAGCCACCCTGACCCCACAGCACAATTGCAGATAAATGTCTGAATCTGGTTGCAGCCATCTGCCCTGCCACCAGCCCGCACATGGGCCATCTGGGCTCTCAGATCCTGGGCCCTCACTGTCACCAGCTGTGGGACCCTGGGAAAGCACTTATGTCCTTGTCTGTAAAACGGGAACAATAACAGACCTTGCTGGGTTGTTAAGGGATGGGTGATATCACAAGTGCAAAGCATCTGGCGTGGGCTGGTGCATGGTGGGGGCTCAATACTTTGGGGAATGGACAAGGCTTGGGGTCCTGACCTTGTTACCTCTAGTGGGCACTCATCTCTGATACAGTCCAGACTCTAGAATCAGAGGGTGGGGCACAGCCTCATGGAAGCATGCTTAGAACATGGAGGGTGGGGTGGGCAGGCACACAGAGAGTCAGACGTGGTTGCAGCGAAGGACTCACTCACCCATTTATTCCGTTATTGAGTGTCTGATCCTCTTCATTTGACAGATGAGGAAACACATCGTGCTTGGTGAAGGTAGGCAGGGAACTTACCTGGCTACTGGGTAGCCGGTGCCTGAGATGCCGCTGAATGAAGCTTCTGCTCCTGGTCATCTCTCTTCCACAGCACAGAGTACAGGACTGAGTATAGGGCTCTGGGCCACACTCTCCCCACCAAATTCTGGCTGCACTACTTAGGAGATATGTGACTGGGTAAGCCACCTAACCACTTCAAGCCTTGCCTTTCCCATCTGTGAAATGGGGATAACAGTGGTGCCTTTCTTCATAGGAGTCTTATGAGGGGTAAATGCGACCATCCAGGTGAAGGGCCAGGTACCCGGCCTGGAGCATGGTAAGCAATCAATGTCACCATTCCCAGAGCTGCCTCTATAAAGACAGTTATAACCAGTGTTTGCAAAATGCTTTATTGTTAATGCCAACATAAAATTCAAAAAGTTAGTCATTGGCACCTGCAATTGATACTCTACTATTCGCAACAGGCTTCCCTTCTTCCACTCCCAGCCAGGCCCATAAGATTATAACTATATCCACAAGACGATATAATCAATCATTAAATGGGCCATTTCCACCTTGATATCCAGATGTTTTTCTTAAAGGATGAATGGTACTTGAGTGTATTGAAATCAACCATGATTGACAGGGCACACCCCAGCCTTTCTATATGATTTCAGGAGTTCTTGGATCACAGCAAGAATCTGATCCTTGTATACAGAAGGAAACTGAGGTCCAGAGAGGGGAAGTGTTGCCCCAATGTCACACAGCAGGTTGGGACCAAAACAGTAGCCCCATTTCAGACTCCCATTCCAACATTTTTCCCATGCAGGATGAACTGACAGTTGTTGTTGCTGATAGGTGGGGGACCAGCCTTGGACCTGTGCTTCCTGGTGGCCCTCATCCACTGGAACAACCCTCCTACTGAGCTTTGTGGCACTGAGCTGGGCATCAAGGGCCTGGACTCTGGACCTCTCTTTGCCACTAACAGGCTGGTGAACTTGAGCAAGTCATCCAGCCTCTCTGGATCTCAGTGCTAATCTTCATTGATGAAGAGTGAGGGCGAGATTGAATGTTCTCCAGATTTCCCCAAGGCACCTGTGTCTTGCAGTTGTGTGGGTGGAAGCAATCATCAAAGAGTAATATTATTTGTAATGCCTCATTAATCAACTAAACCTGTGTAAATCACTAGCTACCAGCATACAGATGGGCCATAGCATAGCCACCTTCATCTCCCACCCTGAGGCGTGTAGATTTAAGAAGCCCCACCTCAGGGGCGGTTCACTTTGCCAAGGAAGAGGATGTCATTATCCACAATGAACATCAGAAAAGGCCTGTTGAACACTATCTTCTGAGAGCTCAGGCGGGCCGACCTGAACATGAAGATTGTCCCCGTGGCTGCCGCTGCTCTGGTTCCCGACTCATCCACCTCCACCACAGCTTTGTGCACCATCTGCAGGGGAGACACCAGGCATCACTAGGCCACCAGGGGTGGGTGAAGCCATCATGTCAAATGGCAAAGCTTCTGCCTATGGGCATCACCCTCTAAGTATCTGTTCAACTGAGCCATGGAGCAAGTAGGAAATGGAACAATGGAGCAGCTACTCTGCCCCAGCCACTGTGCTGGGAGGTGACGTCTCATGTGTCTGTCATTGAATTCTCATGACATCTTGGAGCAAGGTGTAACTCTTCAATTTTATAGAAGAGAGAAAGGAGGCTCAGAGAGTCAGGTATTTTTGGAGATCACACAGCTAGTAAGTGCCTTCTTAGTTTTGATTGTTTAAAACAGGACTCCTTAACTCAAGGAACAGTGGTGGATATGGCTTCCCATTACATGAAGGATAAGACATAAAGTGAAACTTTTGCTTCGTGGGGGAAAAGAGAGGGAGAGGGAGAGGGAGAGGGAGAGAATAGAATAGAATAGAATAGAGGAGTGGAGTGCAGTGGAGTGGAGTGGAGTGCAAGGAGAGTGGAATAGAATAGTAGAGAGTGAAGTGGAGTGGACTGGAATGGAATGGAAGAGAATAGAGTAGAATGGAATAGAATAGAATAGAATAGAATAGAATAGAATAGAATAGAATAGAATAGAATAGAATGGAGTGGAGTGGAGTGGAGTAGAGGAGTGGAGTGGAGGAGTGGAATGGAGTGGAGTGGAAGAGTGGAGTGGAAGAGTGCAGGAGTGGAGGAGTGGAGTGAAGTGGAATAGAATAGAATAGAATGGAGTAGAGTGGAATGGAATGGGATGGAAGGGAATGGAGTGGAGTGGAGTGCAATGGAATAGAGTGAACTGGAGTGGAGTGGAGTGGAGGAGTGGAATGGAAGAGTGGAGTGGAGGAATGGAGTGGAGGAATGGAGGAGTGGAGTGGAGTGCAATGGAATAGAATAGAATGGAGTAGGGTGGAGTGTAGTGTAATGGAGTAGAATAGAATGGAGTAGAGTGGAATGGAATGGGATGGAATGGAATGGAGTGGAGTGGAGTGGAGTGAAATGGAATAGAGTGAACTGGAGTGGAATGGAGTGGAGCGGAGGAGTGGAGTGGAGTGAAATGGAATAGAGTGAACTGGAGTGTAGTGGAAGAGTGTAGGGTAGTGAAATGGAATAGAATAGAATGGAGCAGAGTGGAATGGAATGGGATGGAATGGAATGGAGTGGAGTGGAGTGGAGTGAAATGGAATAGAGTGAACTGGAGTGGAATGGAGTGGAGTGGAGTGGAGGAGTGGAGTGGACTGGAATGGAATAGAGTGAACAGGAGTGTAGTGGAGGAGTGGAGTGGAAGAGTGGAGTGTAGTGGAATGGAATAGAATAGAATGGAGCAGAGTGGAATGGAATGGGATGGAATGGAATGGAGTAGAGTGGAGTGGAATAGAAGAGAGTGAACTAGAGTGGAGTGGAGGAGTGGAGTGGAAGAGTGGAGTGGAGTGGATTGGAGGAGTGGAGTGGAGGAGTGGTGTGGAGGAGTGGAATGGAGGAGTGGAGTGGAGGAGTGGAATGGAGGAGTGGAGTGGAGTGGCGGAGTGGAGTGGAGGAGTGAAGTGGAGGACTGGAGTGGAGTGGAGGAGTGGAATGGAGGAGTGGAGTGGAGGACTGGAGTGGAGTGGAGGAGTGGAATGGAGGAGTGGAGGAGTGGAGTGGAGTGGAGGAGAGGAGTGGAGTGGAGGAGAGGAGTGGAGTGGAGTGGAATGGAGGAGTGGAGTAGAGTGGAGGAGTGGAGTGGAAGAGTGGAGTGGAGGACTGAAGTGGAGGAGTGGAATGAAGGAGTGGAGGAGTGGAGTGGAGGAGTAGAGTGGAGGAGAGGAGTGGAGTGGAGAAGTGGAGTGGAGTGGAGGAGTGGAGTGGAGTGGAGGAGTGGAGTGGAGGAGTGGAGTGGAGTGGAGGAGTGGAGTAGAATCGATTAGAGTCAACTGGAGTGGAGTGGAGTGGAATGGAATGGAATGGAATGGAATGGAATGAAATGGGGTAGAGTGGAATAGAATAGAATAGAATGGAATGGAATGGAATGGAATGGAATAGAATAGAATAGAATAGAATAGAATAGAATAGAATAGAATAGAATAGAATAGAATAGACTAGACTAGAATAGAATAGAATAGAATATCTTGGAAAGTGGATGCATAGGAGCTTCTGAACCCACCTCAGACACTTGGATATTTGTGTGGTTACTGATGCCGGACAGGTCAGCGTGGGAGGTGAAGATGTTACTGATCCCCAGCTTGGGAAGGACTTTATCCAGCTGATAGGAGCCCTCAATGGAGAATTTGGGAAGGTAAAGCTCGAGCTGCCTAGAAAAGGAAAAGGAGTTTTCTTAGACTGCTCTAGGGCATTGGCACACTGAGCTTCACCCCTTGGCTTCATAATGCACTGGATTCTTAGTTTTGATGCTTTATAAAAAGGACTCCTTAACCCAAGGAACAATGGTGGTTATGGATCCTCTGGCCTCTTGTCTAGGATGAGCCTCCCCTTGCTCTGGACTTGGACATGGGCTGCCCCAGAGGTCTCTGCTCACTCTGGCACCACCCTAAGGAACCCAGCTTCCAGCCCTTGTCCCTCCAACTGGGCTAGTACCCCAGGACCTGGATGTCACAGGATGCCTCTGGGCTTGAAGGCAGCTCCTTGGCTGGGTGAGTCCTTCCCACCAGTGCTGTGTGGCCCTGGTAGGGCGTGTGTGTCTCCCTGGGGCTGTATGGAGTTAGGCTGGCCCGGGGGTAATCTGAAAGTACCTCTTTTTGAACATCTTAAGCCACTTCCTCAGTGTTTTCTCGCTCAGTCCATTCTCCACCTGCTGCATCTTTCCCTCACTGGGGAGAATGAACAAAGCCGTGGCATTGCCTTGGTAGGGGACCCCCACCACCCTGCAGGAGAGGTTCCGGTCCAGGAGGTAGTGATACTGGTCTTCGCGGCTCATCATGGGTACCCGCACCACAGTCTCCGGGGTCACGTAGAAGTCTTGCTCTTGGGTGCCTTTGTGGTTGAAGCTTGTCTCCCACTTAGCTAAAGATGAAAAGAAAGAAAAATGAAAAAGAATTTTGTGGAAGAATTAGAAATTCTCAGCTGCAAATAAAAGGAGTGAAGACAGTAAAGATAGCCAGCAGAGACCATCTTTATGGCAGCCTCAGAGCAGTGACTGTTGAACCTCTTGAATGTCAAGGCAAGTCCTTTTATAACACTGGGCCCATTCTCGGACTTTTCATAGGGCTTTTCCTTCCACATCTGCAAAACAAGGAGGTTGGTTTTCACATCTTCCGAGGCCCTGGACCCCTAATGTTCTTTGATTCTCTAACGTTTTACTCAAGGCCAAATCTCCAAGTGAAGAGGGTAAAAAATGTGGCTGGCCATGAATGCTACCTGATATCTGGGTGAGCTTCTCTGTTTGCACTTTCTTCCCAATATTTTAATTTAAGTTTTAGAGAGAAGGTCGTATGGATCCTGGAAACGAATGCTTTTTCCCATTGGGAAGTCTTCAATGACCCTTCTCTTACCTTCCTATGGAAACTTCTGAACAAAATGCTACAAGTGATTGCTTCCAACTTCTTTTTATTTTATTTTATTTTATTTTATTTTATTTTATTTTATTTATTTGAGATGGAGTCTCGTTCTGTAACCTAGGCTGGAATTCAGTGGCACAATTTTGGCTCTCTACAGCCCCCACCTCCCAGGTTCAAGCGATTCTCCTGCCTCAGCCTCCCAAGTAGCTGGAATTACAGGCGCCCATCACCACGCCTGGCTAATTTCTGTAATTTTTAAGTAGAGACGGGGTTTCACTATGTTGGCCAGGCTGGTCTCGAACTCCTGACTTCAGGTGAGCTGCCCATCTCGGCCTCCTAAAGTGTTGGGATTACAGGCATGAGCCACCACGCCTGGCCTGTTTCCAACTTCTTCATTGTTATCAAAGGAAGACCCCACCCAATACCGTCCCTAGTTTATTTCCCAGTTGTCCTCAGCAATCTGGTGTAATGGGGACCGCCCTGCACCAGGGGATAGGAAATCTCAGAGTCCAAGTTCGACACTCACTGCTGCGGTCTCAATGTGTGTGTCCCCACATTGTTCATATGTTGAAACCTAACCCTGAGGTGGTGGTATTAGGACGGGGGGCCTTTGGGAGTTGATTAGTTCGTAGGGGTAGAGCTGTCATGAACAGGATCGGTGTCCTTACAAAAGAGACCACAGACAGCTGCCTTGCTCCTTCGAGCAAGGACATACTGAGAAG